ATTCTAATTGTATAAAAGGCTGAAAGTAATTGGATAAAGATAAAATATTAATAAAGAAAGTCTTTTTCTTTATTCAATAAATTTAAATCAAATTAGAAAGAAAGCCTCTATAAATATTAACGGTTACAGTCAGGTAAGGTATAATAGCAAAGACTGAATAGTTTAAACTGAAATATTAGCCAAGTCCCTAGTCAATAATAATAATAAGTATACATAGAATAATTACAAGCCGAAAGACAAAACGACTATTAGTCACAGCATATACAACAATAAAGCCAAGTCTGCATTCAATTGCATCTAATTGCTTACAAGCTGCTAAAAGCTCTGCTTCTATTTGAATTAAAATAAACTAGTATTGCTATTCCAATTTGTCTCCCCGCATTACAATCTCTACTATATAATATTCCATAGCTTTTCGAATAAGGATAAAAGAAAGTATTTCTTTTGAAATACAATTCTTTAATTCCTTTTATATATTAAATTATTTCAAAAATTAATTTTACTAAAAGCTAGCAAAGTTATAACTTACCTTTACTATATTACTATATTCAGTAATAGTTAATCGGTATTAGAGAAATATCTTGTATATATCCCTGTCAGACAAGTGCTTACACTTATACTTATCAGTCAAACAAAACAAACAGCAAGATTAACCAAACGATTATCCAGAAAGTCAATAGCAGATACTATCTCCCTTACTGGAAATACAACTATATATACAATCAGTACAAACCTAGCCGTTTTCTTGAATACATTGTTTTTGTTATAATACCATCTTTTTTGATAACCTTTTATTTAGAGATTCCTATTTATCAATATCAATAAAGTTAATACTTTTACAATAAAATATATCGAATTTGCAACCAGATTGATTTTAATACAAGGCCTCTAGGATATTTTCTTTAATTATCTTGTTATCATTTTCAAGATTATGAAAATAATGTATTGCTATAATCAATTTATCAGTAAACTTCTTTTTATAATTATCAATACAATTAATCAAGGGATTATATTCTTCCTCCAAATTCTATCTCGAAAAACAATAAAACAGATATATCTAATAAGCATATTGAAAATCAACCCCACCTTCAGACATATTGCCTTCAATATCTGTAATCGCATTTATTAGATAAGCTAACTGCAAGCTGGAAATATTAAAAGAAAATCTTATTTATATGCATTTTCATTATCTAATCTATCTTCCTTATCATCCTCCTCTTTGCCAACAGGATCATTACCACTTCCACTATAGCTTGACTTTTCCTCTTCCTCAATAGAACATTTGCTTTATATAACAGAAAAGGCAGATACTCTCTTTATTATAAGCTATAAAGAAATATATTAGCAAAGCAAATATAAAAGAAAAATAAACAATTTATTACTATATATGTATTTTTCTGCTACTTTAACTGTACTGACAACAACTTGCTTTTACTACTGCATTTTCTTGATAGTATAAAAGGCATATTGATTATTAATTGAAGAATATAAAGAAAATGAATGATCAGAAAAGATTTGAAAAAGAAAGGGAAATTCGGGCGATCTATATATTTCGAAGGCTTCGCACTATTACTAGGCTACAGGATGGTTTCCTTTGTTTCCTATGTGCCTTCTCATTGCAAAAAAAGCAAAATTTGTATATACACCTATTTATTACGCTATATTACAATGTAAATAACGATGTCTTATTAGGATTACCAATACATCTACAGATTAGATAATTGTAAAGCTTAAAGGTAAGCTTTTTCGAAAGGGGGGGTAGTATTACGGATCGCACCTAATCACAATTGCGATTGCTCACAATTGCGATTGCTCACGTGCGCGCTTGCGCACGTACACGATCACGTGTACATAGCTAATATATAGAAGCGCTCTATGAACGCTTTGCTTTTGATTCTGTAGTTGTAGATTCTAAGGATAAATTGTACCCTGCTCTCGCAGTTCTTCTAAGACAAAGTGTCACAGATAGTAGCAAATAAAACAGATATAGTAATATCAAACAATTCGAGAGTAGATTTAGTAGATATTGTTTTAGAAAATATAATAGAAACAGGTACAGATTTAGCAAAACAATTAAACAAGCGAATATTCTATATAGCGATCTACTCGTGTAAAAAGGCCTCAATATATCTTTTAATAAACATTTTTCGAATTTTATATTCAAGAAACAAATTGGCTTTTTTTAATCCAATAGTATATATAGCTGTTGATTGAAGGTATTGATATCAAGTTTGAAGATTCTTTGCCACAGTTATATTGAGCTCAAAGGTATCCTCCGGGTAACTGAACAAATATAGAGCTAATATTACTATTGCAATGATATTAGTAGGAGCTATATAATATCACAAGATAGGCAGGTGGGATTAGGAATTTATATTTGATGGTGCTAAGAATAGTAGATATAGAGTATAGATTAAGATGTAGCTCGAAGAGTTACGATACAGGATCTTCCAACATGAAGATATACAGAATTTTCACTTATAAGCTAGCCTAACAAAGCCTAGCTTATCGCTTATCGATCATGTGTATCCATACCGTGACAATAGGCAGTAACCTTTATACTAGCTTTATCGAGTTATGTATATACAAATCTCTTCCTATATCCGTGTACTGCCGAATCTAGGTTCTTTATTAATTGGATATATCTAAATCTAGGTTTTTTCATTGGATATAACTATTAGGTTATATGAATATAGTGGGGTAATAGAGCAGGCTCCTTACATCAGCTCTTATAGGCCAAGATCAGATGATTAATATAGGTCTGTTGAAATATTCTTTTATAAGTGGGTTCTCCCAAACCTTACAAGAGAGCACGGTAAAGTGAAGAATTATACCATTGTGTTATAAACGCATACCAGGCTCATAACTATCAGGCTAAAAGTGATATTATCGATAGTATTAAGCTAATTGGGTTTATATAGGCATATTCTCTCATGACAAAAATCCAATAGAAATTAATGATTTTGATAAAAAAAAGTAAATAACTTTGAAAAAAACGTGATTTTTACAATATTTCTACCACCTAGAGTTCATTATATAAATTTTCAACCAGCAATGTGATTTGATTTATCCAAAGGCTAAAAGTGGGGACACATTTAGGTGCATTTTACATTACTTACCCTTCCAACGTCCGTACATGAAATTTGTAGACTGATTTGGAATTAATACAACATGGGTGATGGATTTAATTAATTCTGATTTTGATGCTTCCGAGGTCGGTTCTTTCAGACAAATTGATCAAGGGGCATATCCCAGTATTTGGGCAACAATAAGGCACAGCAACTGCATGTCTCATTTTAACAAATTATTCGATCGGCAAAAATGTAACGATAGGCGGATTAACGAGCAGAGCTTATCTATAAAGACTACCAATCGGCAGATCGCATCTGTACAACAACTAATTTGGAATCGAAACGCGTACATTATCCTTCAAAAATTGGTTGCTTCTTTCTCTTTCCATTGCTTGAGTCTACAAACTGTCGATGGTGGGTGGGTGCTGTAGCTACAGTGCCATCGCATCTTCCAAGCCTCTGCCTAGAACTGATGCTGAATACTCTTGACCATTATTGGCCGTACCAATTTTCGAGCTCACACCACTTCACATCACCCAAGTAGGCAGTTCTAAAACTGGACCAAATTTGTCAGTTTCCTGTTTAGAATCAATGGCGTTGTATTGATCTTCTGGTAACACTTGTCAAGACCTATGGGCGTGCAGGTAGATTCGTTATATCGAATGAACTGTTTCAGTAATTCATCGGAATAGCTATGATCTGTGACCCCGAGTCAACTCTTGAGGGCCTCAATCGAATCGTGGTCGACGAAAATCTTTCCATAAAAATTGTCAATTGAGCTGTTGTTCTACAAGAAAATGGTACCAGATTTGTGGTAGTTCCAACCACGTTCAAATCTTTCCTTTCTCCCTCCATCCGAGAGTCAGTAATCATGCTCTTCCTTGCCATTGATCTTCTTCAATCTCCCCTCCTCCGCTTCTTTACCTACGTGATACTCGCCTTTACACTTCTTTTCCTATGTCTTTTCCGCCGCTCCGGCCACCCTCTTAATGCACCACAGCTACTCCCTGTTTCCGAGAACTATCCAATTCTGGGTGCTGTGCGATTCTTTACTGCACGATGGGAGTTTTTTTCGCGAAGGTATGCGTGGCTCAAGTTCAGGAAATTTTTTGAAGATCAAATTTATATTCGTTGAACAGAGAGAGGATAAATGAATGGATTTATTTGCTGTTTATCGATCCGGTATCCATGAGGGGGTGTTTAGCGGCGATGAAGTTTGATATTGTTGTAATTTGACTTGTGGGACGGTGACGATGATGATGATGGCGATGATCAGAGTTCTAGGGTATCCAATAGTCCAGATTGTAGTTGAGTAATACAATGCTTTGAAGATCGGAAAGCAATTAGAAATTTGAAAATAGTTCAATGTTTTAATCAAATTCAATATCTCGAATAATTTGAATATTCTAATTGGTTTGGGGATTGGATTGTGTTTATTGCTGGATTGTAATCCGGATTATGAGACACCCTGATTGTGTATAAAAGAGCTTGTTGATCTATAGAACGGAGTTATGTTTAGAGTCTGTTATTATGAGTATTACTTTGTTGAATTTGACTATGAGTTATGGAAGAGGGGTATTTTAGTAATACTCACTTCATTTTAGTTAAATTGCATTATAACCAAGTTATCTTTTGACTGTGGTTTTTCTCCTATTAGATTACGTACCTGGCAGGTAGTTGTATGTATTTGGACACTCCACGAAAGATTTAATTCCCCATGGTAGACGATCTGCAAAAGCACGAATCACAACGTATTATCATTGAAAAGATCGAAAGCTACAAGTACCCTCTCCATTATCAAGCCATGTAAATAAGCAATTGCGCGCCGTCTTACAGTATGCAATCGCCAATGATTATGCTTCGATTTACACCACCGTTCCATCTAGCTCCCGGAGTAGGCACGATATCTGTACTCCCATCGAACCCAACTCACGCATCCGATTTCTCAACCTCCTCAAAGTAACTACTCATCTCATTCAACGGATTACTCTTCTCCAACGCCGTCGTCCCATGCCTCGCTACCTGAATCACATATCCCATATTAACCAGCAGCTCCAATCTCAACTCTTCCGGAAAATCCTTCGAATTCGTTTCGAACAACAAAGGCGGCATTTCCCACGTCAGTAAATCGAGAAGAAATTTGCGTATCAGCATACCCTTAGTTGTATATTTCCACATGTAGGAAAGCCATGGTGTCATAATGTACCCCGTGGCTTTGGTAAATCTGTATTACTTTGCAATGCACTGGTTCTTGAGTAGTGGTAACTTGGCCATGTCGGCAAATAGATACAAATCGAGAAGATTGGCCATGTGTGGATAACAGAAGTTTGTCAGCGCTACATTGCTGGTGGCATTTAGATCTCCGCCTATCATCTCCAGAATCTCGTTTTTCTGCGAATCGCGAATTTTCTTTGTGTTTCCCTTTCCCTTCGAAGTGTCCAAATCGATGAGCGATCCTTCATCAGCTTTTTGCGCCTCCTCCCCAGTTTTCACCTTCCTAGCTTTCCATTGCGCAATTTCTTCATCAGCATCGCCTAAATCCAGCTTGTAAAGCCAGGTCTTAAACAACTTGAACACCACATCATTTGTTTGTGGAAAGTTGATAGCGCTGTGATCAAGTCCTCGAGAATAGTGTTAGCAAGCCCCTTTGAGAAATGGGGCATGTCGGTATAAAATATCTTTTTCGAGTGTGTATAAGTTTTTATGCTTGCCTACTCTGACTTGGATTGTATTCCGTTCTTTCTCTCTGGGGTGGGTTAGATAGTGTTCTCACACTTCCGTTCTCTTGTGCAGTGTATGAAAGCTCTATAGGATGAAGGACGATCGGACTTACTTTTGCTTTTCGATTAGAGCTTTGATTGTTGGGGAATTGCGACTTGGAAGTGACATCTTAATTTTTCTCTGTTATCAGTCTTTGGAATTTGTGAATGTCTAGTTGAATCTTGTATATTGAGTTGTGAAGAAAGACTAATCTCAAGTTGGTTTTAAAACACTTAGTGCTGCTGTGTTTTTCAACTTTCTGTAGATAAAGTATTTGTATACAAAACTGTCTTATAGAAAAGTTGTATATACAAGTATGTGAATCTCTCAGTCCATTTACTAGATACTTTATAAACATATGAACTTCGTTACAGCCGTACAGAAGCGAGGAGTAAATACGGTTCATATCAAATTTGAGTTCTCGGGAATCTAGAATCCTGATTGTATAATATACGCTGAGAGATCAGTTTATTGGATTAAAGAGTGTTTGCATATAATACATTCATACGATGAAATGAAGAAGTTAGTTCACATGACTTGTTGACGTAGAAAATTTAAAAAGTGTTGGTTCGCTTGTGAATGTTTGATTTTTTGTATGTAGAACACAGATGTTTTGTTTTGTATTGTGTCTAATCATTTGGAGTTAATTAAATATGGATTTTTCAAGATAGAAAGTTCTGAGGGTACCTACTGTGATTCTTCTCTTTGATTAATTCATTAGCAGGTGAAATGTTACAAATTACATACAGTGTTTGACTTTTGTGATTATCATACTGTTACCTAGACCTCTTTTTGTTCTGGATAAAAGTGAATTCACATTCATTTCAACATTTATGAGTTTATACTGGTTTGTTTGTCTGAAATCTAGATGTGAATCAATCGTATTTACGACTTCTGATACCTAGGTAGTTGTTAGTCTTTCGGTTACATGACTTACAAAATTACTCTCAATTCCTCAACTTTAAATCTTGATATGGAATTAACAAGATGATGTTGAAAATAGATTTTTGACACAAAATATTTGTCAAACTTGGTTCTAGGCAGGAGGCTTAGACAAAAGTCTGGCTTTTCGACCAGCTCTTCGACCCTAGCGACCACTCATATTGAAAGACCCCCGACTCAAACCTCACCTCCTCCTAGCACACACAACCCTATAAATGCGCACTCCGCCCCAAGCTAACCCACCATTCACAACATGTCTCACCATGAAAAGTTCTGGCGCGGCGACGACGACGGCAAAAAAGGCAAAAAGCAGGCTCGTCCTCCCGCCAGACAATACAATGAGCGAGGACCCTGGAATACCGTGAGCCACGCTCTCGGCGTCTATGTTTCTCCCGTGCATAAATATTCCATACATGTATATCTTATTTTCCATCGATTCGATAACATGCCGTCTGGAAAATTCGTCGCGACGATGTCGTTTCGCACGATGTATAATGATTTTAGGGGTATGAAGACAATGGATCTTTCGCCCGCTTCCGAGGATGCGGATCCGCTATTTGATGAGAATGGAGGGGATTTGAGCGGGGTGATGGTCGCGAGGAGGACGTTTGCTTGTAAGATTGGGTGGACGAAGAGATTTGAGGAGAAAGATAGTGTGTATTTGCGGGTTGCAAGATGTTTGCCATTGCCAATAAGGCCGGAGGGGATGAATGATGAAGAGTGGGAGGAGGTGAGACCCAAGGGGCCAAGACCTAGGACGGAATGGGTTTTAGAAGCTATTAGGGCGTTGAGGGAAGATAGACATTGGGAGAGTTTGCCGATAATACAGTTCCAGGCGAGGCATGATGAAGTGAAAGAGGTAGCGGGAAGAAAGAGGCGGGCAATTGGTTTAAGATCAAGGTCCTCGTTCGACATGGAACAGGCGAGGTGCTTGGATAAGATTATGAATGATGTCGGGACGGTTTTGTATTCTAAACGTGAGGAAGAGTTGGAGAAGAACCCGGGAAGACGTAGAAGAAGGGGGATTGACGCAGGGTTTTAATTTTGATCTTATAGGAGATGATGTTTTGTAAGCAAGCCATGAAGAGGCAAAGTTTCGGTTTTGGAGAAACGAATATGTTTTAGAGGAGAGCAGAGGGGAAATAAAAATTAAGTAGACAGAATGGTAAGTGAAGGATGGAATGAGTAGAGGGGAATAGAAGGAAATACGAAGTATGTTTCCCGAAAGAGTAGCATTGTATCAGTTGCCTTAACACTACTTGGTATTTTAAATGCTCATATGAATCACAAACATTTAAGTAATCCAAAGATCTTGGACATCAAGCTTAGCGATTACACTTTTAGCGACATAGGAATGCTATTATATACCTAGGTCTTCAAAAAAAAACATCTTCAAACTGCCAACAGATTTTTGCGACCATCCGATGCAAATTTAGAAAGAACAGCTTTGCTTTAACGGAATACAATCATTGAATCCATCGGTTGTAAGAGTGCAGGTATTCGTCTCGTCAAAACGATTCAGATAGATAAAAATTGGATAGTTTCTTGATAGAGACGCACCTTGCACGTGAAATGTGAGTTTGCTTTCGATTCTCCAAAGTATATATGTACGAAATTTTCTCACAATCATTCGTTCTGCTCCTAACCTTTGTTATCTATATCTGTTCTTTATCAGAGTTTCCCCTCCTGCCCCTCCTAGGGTTAATGGTAATCAAAGTTCCCCTTTTTTGTAGATTTTGAACGTTTCTTCATCAATACTGCCTTGGTGTCTAGACGGGTCTAGATTCAGCATCTACCCCATACATAGACGTCGAGAGACTACCGAGGAATTGATGCATAGTACACATTCTCGATGCTCATACAAGTTTATTGAATATCAGGAACACTGATTCGTTTTTCCACACTTTGTACCTAGGATGATGAACAGAGTGATGTCGTGTCGCCCTCGATCATACCGCCCTTTCAACGTAAAGTATATATGGATGTACTACGTAGATGATTTGTTTCCGAGTAAGTGCCGGTAGATATGCATGCAGTACATCTGTCTCACCACGAGACTTTGAGGCTCAGAGTCTGCGAACTGATAGCCATTGGGTTGGTCGATCGTTTATGCCTTGTGTGATTGAATTGTGGTCATTGGGCCATTGGGCCATTGGATCTGGGAATTGTTGGTTGGTACAGACTAGTTGGTCTTCCGACTTTTCGGGTGGAGACGTCGAATGGCAACGCTGCGTTGGTTGTGTAGGATGTGTAGGATGTGTACATGTATGTACATATACCCAGGTAGTTCTAGTCGCCAGCCTCCAGCATTTGAGTCACGTGTCGTATCAATGACGTAGTTGAGGCGTAATTCCCCTTATCTTCCCCTTGATTTTTGCTTGTTTGCTTGTTGGTTCTCTTATAAATCTCACTTCATGCAGTCGATATGCACGATGATACAATGGATCGCTGCAATCTTCACTCCGGCCTCACTCCCCCCACGCAAACATCGGGATTCCGTTAATTGAGTGCCACGCATACAAAAATTGCGAAGGGAAGGGAAAAAAGGGCAAAAAAGGAAAATAACCTCATGACCCTCAATTGGTAAGACGATAAAGCTAAGAAGAATTTCCAATATATTGGAGACGGTTTATCCCTTTACTCTTGTTACTTTTCTTTCGACGTTTGACATTTGACGTTCGACATTCGACGTTACTAGATATTCATACGTTTTATAGGAAATCTAAAGTTTCTGGAATTTACTATCGAATCATTTGTTACTATCATATCACATCAAACATCTATTATATACAACGGTACAAGGTATACATTACTACCAAGTAACCAACAAACCAATTACGAATCGTCCCGTCTTAAGGGTCACCCCTCTAAACTCAATTCAACCCCTCCAAGCTCTTCATTTACTTTATTCCGTCCAATACGAATCGTCAATCCAACCTTGCATCATAGTTCAATCAGGGAACGAACCTTAACTTTCATCATTACTCTACGAACCATACTATAGACCACGCTATACTACGGGCCAACCCGAATCTATCAAGATGGATTACCTTCCCATAGGTCTCCAAGCTACTGATGTTCTCGTCGACAAACATTTTCATAAAATTCCCGACAAAGCTTTTAGGAAAGAAACCTACAAACCGCGTATTCCTTCTACATTGAGTAGGAGAAAACGTAGGGAGAAAGAGGAACGGAGAAATTCTCGAGATCAAGGAGAAGATCCAGAGCGACGAAGAGATTCAAGAGATGAGCGAGAGCGAGACGATTGGGAAAGAGGAACACGAAAGAGACAAGAAGAACCATATAGGAATCCAGAAATCGAAGAAGCAGGTTACGATTCCGAACCCGATTACACATCTAGACAACGCGAAAAAAATATGAGGGATAGGAATTGGGAATCGAAAGGGGAGAGAGATAGAGATTTGAGAGATATTCCAAGACATAGTGGCGCGGGTACAGGTACAGGTTATGGATATGGATATCCTTATGAAGAATCAAATCGATCCAATTCTCCACCATCGCAGATATACAGTCAAGAACCACCACGTCTTCGTCCTGAATATCTTCCAAAGTACAGTGCTCCTCGACCATTAGATCCTGCTAGTCCAAATCCTTACTATTTTCCTCCTCCGCCTATAGCACCATTCCCAGACCCATTCGAGAGAGATGAAAAGAGAGGAAACTATGATTCAGATGAACGATACGAAAGAGAAAGAACACGCAGACCAAAACCCATTCAAAGAAGTAGTTCCTACGATGATATCCACAGTCAACGCAAATCTTATCCCTCAAATACAGACCAAAGACTTTCCACTCATAACACCAGTCGCAGACCTCGATCTGATCATAGTGAATCTAAAGATACACATACGGGTAGTATGAAGGATCGTGCCGAACGCTATGGACTTAAAGATGAAGTCAAAGGATTATTTACAGATTCACCAAAAGGATTGGTAGGAGGAGCGTTCGGAGCACTTGCAGGAGGATGGGCGGCGGAAAAGCTTCAAGAATCAAAGACGGGGAAGGATAGAAAGGATATGGGAGATCGGGCAAAGATCTATACGTTGATTGGAGCGGCGGCGGGAGGATTGTTGGCTAATGCTGTGGTTGATAAGTGGCAGGATGGAAAGGAGGAGGCGAAGGAGAAACAGAAGAAATGGGATAAAAAATACCCGGATGGGAAGATTGATGGGAATGAAGAGAGGGAGGATAGAGATGGAGGAAGAAGTGGAAGGGAAAGGAGAGATTCGGTTAGGAGTCGAAGAGATAGGGATAGAGATGATAGTCGGGAAAGATATATGGCTTATGAGGAGAAGACTAGGAGAAGTGATGGAAGAGGTTATGAGGGGTGATTGATGAATATTACTGAACCGGGGTTTGATGATGTTCATGATATGAACGAAGGATACGACCCATCAGCGATTTTAGAGATGTGATTGGAAGGTTACCAGCGAGCGTGGATTTGTTGCTCGAACTTGAATGGATGAAACAGCACTGTATTTTATTACGAACTTACGAAATGATGAACTTGGGATTTAGAGAAAAGGAAGAGAGATGGAAATGGAAAGAAGATCTAGGATGGGATGGAAGCGATGATTAATTATATTTGATTTACTTGGTTTACTTGCCTTACTTTACTATTCGCTTGTTCATCTTCGCGCAGGAATTACTATACTTGTTTATGATTCTATCGATTAATGAAATGAAATGAGATGATTGAAATACTCGAATAGGAAATCTACATACCTAGTATAGTAAAGTACTCTTTCCTAGAGATTTGTTTCGCTCATTCATTATTACTACTTGGGATATACGAGTAAAGTAGAGCCAGCTACCTCATAGTCTAGCTTAGCTTTCTTTCTAATTGATCTCAAGATAATCGCGATTAAATTTTTGAAAAAAGGAAATTAACGCATGGAGATTTTGTTCATTCGTTGATATGAAGTAGATAGAAGTTATATTTAATAGATATATAACTAACTATCTCATTTTTTTATTGCTTTTCGCATACACCCACCCTCCCTTCCATTTACCCCACCCAGATCTGTGTTAATATACTTAAACAGCAGCGCCCCACCATAACAACATCAAAAATCAGCGTTTGTGGTTTAGTGGTAAAATCCATCGTTGCCATCAATTTCTTCCTTGATCTGGAGTGTGCGACACAACTTCGATGGGCCCCGGGTTCGATTCCCGGCGAACGCAGTTTTTTTGTTTTGGGGAGTAGTGGGTGGTTAAGAGGGGGAAGGGGGTTGTGTGTTTTGTGGTGGCTTGGAAGGTTGGGTTTTGGTTTCGGTTTCGGTGGGTAAGTAGGTGTGAATTGGGATGGGAGTTGCTTTTTGGAGTTGAGAGTGAGTGGTTTTGGATAGATGGACTTTTTATTTACTTGGATGGAGAAGGGGAGTGAGTGTGGGTTGGGATTGGGATGATAGAGGATAGTGAGGAATGGATGATGTACCGAGAATTGAAATGATGATGATGATGTGTTATTATCATATTGAAGTAAAAGATGTTTTTTTCTTAGACAAAGTGATTCTTGTGGGCATTTTTTAATGAGATGGTTATTGGTATAAGTTGTGCTTAGAGGTAGGTGGTGATTGGAAAGAAGTTGCTTTGAATTGGAGTTTGATTGAAGTTTGATTGATAGAGTAAATAAATCACTTATTATCTATCAATCATATTACAGGCACAAAACACAGTTTGACAAAGTGTAAGATATGAAGAAGCGATTTTATTAACTCATTAGATATACTGAAATATTGAGGTTCTAGTCAATAATATCAACGATTCAATGTAAAGACAGAAGTCTATTAGTAGATATCGACATATTTATTCCCTTGCCATTTTCGAACTTTTCTTGTCAATTGATTTCTTTAGCATTCACCACTTTGATTTATTTCCATCGCTCGCTGCCCCTGTTAATATACATCAACAATCGATTTGTAACCTATCGTTTCCCATTCCCAATACAATTCTTTCTCTATCAAACATGACCATCCTCCTCTATTAAATCACCAAATTCTTCCCAAGGACACAGACCTCCATCATCACTCTTCTCATCGCGAAGATTATCCCCTTCGCCAACTCACAACCACCATGTTCTAGCAGCTGTACTTACAAAAACTCACTACCCGCTTCGTAATATCCCTCACATACGATGGCTGAACAATATCTGTCGTTTAGTTGTGTAATGTAGTTTTCTCCGACGTTTGTGTCTAGTACAGTAGGTTCGATCTCGTCAAACGAGACGCCATGATTTTCTCCTAGGATCTTATATGCTATATACTTTACTCTGCTGATGACAGCTCATCACATGTACTCATCCAGGATTTGGACCATCGTTGATCTGGGTTTCGGTGTGATGTATGTCGCCCGGTACTTGGTCCGTAAGCGAAGGTATGTTATCGCTATGAAGTATTATAGTAATTGCAATTGAAGGGACCGTCTCTGGAATTCTATACTCAGGATAATGATTTCCGAGCCGTAGTATGAATATGTTATTCAAGTATAGAATCAAACCCCTTGGAAATAATCATTTATAATAACAAGCGAAATGAACATTTTTTCCTTTATTAATCAATTCACTTCAAATTTTATTCTCAGTCGTATAATCAAAACCGAAACTTCCTATTATACAAGTAGATAGATTTTGATATAAAACTATCACTATCGCAGCTCCTGAAAAGAATACAAATCTCCAAAAAGAAATGGAAACTCATTCTTCGCTCACAACCAACCATAAATCCCTAGGTATCTCAACCCCATCATCAAAATAATCCTCCTACAAATCCCAGAGCCAGCACAAAAAGAAACCACCAACATATCCACTACCCATCACTCCAGACTCTCAGACACGAAATCAAACCGTCCCTTTACAGCCAAAGATCGGGTTCACCAACCGCTTGATACAATAGTTCAGTTCACCCACTAGTCAATCCATAAAAAAAAGAACCCCATCCTACAAACCCCATACGGAAAACCAACTCTTGAAAAACTTGGAGCAATCGCGATCATACACAGTCCATTTGCAGTCCACGGTACTCAAGCTAGACATGAAAAGATGATTCCCCAAGCTCCAAGCTCCACGGTCGCACAATCACAGATAGTTTTTCGGCCATCGAAACATTCTGTCCCCTCAGATATCTCAAAACCTCCCCGCCAAAAGATAATTAACTACCATCTCGCAACAACGGGAAAAGTGATTCCGTCCAAGAAGCGATCAGCAAATGAAGAAAGCACTGGACAAGTCACAAAGTCCACATCCATACAATACCGAATTAGTGATAATCAAGTGAACAAGCTCCCGGAAACTCGGTAATGTTATAGATTTATAAGTGAGACTTCAGGGCTTGGCGGCCAAGCTTCAGTAGGTACCCGCACAACATGGTTGCGTAAGCTCTGAAAAACTTACCATGATATTCTATCCTATAAATTCGATTACACGTAATCTTTCTCGAAGAGTATTAGCTACGATTGGGTCGTATGAAGCTGTAATGGCATCGTCAGGAGATAGAGTTCGAAATCAATGCAACGAGGATGTCAGCGAGCCCTTTTAAGTATACGCACCATCTGTAGCAATTATTCAAGTATAGACCTCACATGACCATCTCAGCCGAGAGCCAGAGGACGAATAATCAGGGTACTCAGCATTTCGAACTCCAAACCCAATCTAATAAGCTCCCAATATTCAAAAGCAGTACAAAATCAATAGTGCGCTCAGTATTTCAACTCGTTCAAACCATTCAATTAGATTTATGAAACTTCCAATTATCACACTACGATCTGAACCATTGAGAACCCAGACATGTACTTCACATCATTACCACCTCACCACTTAAGAACCAAATATCAAACAGCAAACAACTCAATAAAACCACGAATATTCATGCTCATTACTCAAAAGTCCATGCATACATTCTTAACAAGCATGTACTCTTCACCATCCGTGTTCACTTTACTTCACCTCACATACAAATTCCCATCGAATCCATCTCCCCTTCCAACCCACCATTCCATACCATACCACATACATCCATTCGTCCATCCCTATTAAAAAGCGCACCCAAGAAGAAGAAAGATGATACCAGATCCATCCATCCAGCCTTCAGTTTCTGTTTAAATCTTTGCGAACACTGACAAGATGGAAGAATCGAAGCTAGCAAATAAATGCAAAAAAGCAAAAAGTAAAGTTGGGTATAGAAGGGTTTTATATTTCGGGTATCGGGCAAAGTATGTCGATTTATTAGACTTTAAAATAAAGTCAAGTCAAGACAAGAAACCACCATGAACTAGAACGTTTGTAGGTGACGCATTAAAAAAGTCGAATTAAACAGTCGAAACATGATGAAAAATATCGGCGACGTAGAATGAATAGAAGGCACTGAAGAAACAGTTTGCTGATTAAGAAGTTGACATAAGTCGAGCTGAGACATGATGCGCAAGAATTGCGGAAAAGGTTGAAATTCTGAAATACGTTGGAAGATTCTGGAATGAAAGGAGGATAATATTATGTCAAGAGCTATTCATTACGAGCTGGCCCAGAGACGTCTGAAATTGATTCTAATGACCTAGCGTGAGCAAAACAATCTATAATCAGCCGAGATTTCACACTTCGCAAATTTCAACACCAATGTAATAGCAATTAAAACGCAAGCAGCAAATCCCGTGGAAAAGCGGAAGGAATAAAGGGGATGATGTGATTTGAATGGCAGGAAAATGAGATCCAATTCGATTGGATGCAGAAAAAAGGGTTTGTGTGAAATGGGAGGATTGGAAAAGAACAAGAAAATAACTACCTCATATTATCCTTTTTCAAATCATCATTCATCTTTTCCAATTGTTCAACAGTAACTCTAGCTTTTGCTAACTGTTGATTTGAGTCATACGTTAGTAAATGTTTCCTTTCTTGTGTGTATGAGTATTTGAATCAGGCTGGTATGAGAAGGGAAAGACTAAGTATCTGTGTACGAGGAAGAAAGGAATTAGGGGTGAGGTATGTGCAAATAGAACCAAGGAAAAGGAGAATAGAACTGGGCAACAGAAGCACTAGAAAAAAGGTTCGCCAACCGAAGCTAACGCGGCTGATGAATTATCATGCTCACTTTCAGGTGTAACCACTGCATCTGTGCTTTCACCCGTTCCCTCGGAATCCTTACCATCGGTATCGGCGAATCCCCTAGAAAAAAGTCCTCCGAATGTTGGTGTTTTTGGTGGGGATGTAGTTGAGAGCTTGGTCTTTATTGTTTCACCATATTGAATTAGCTCAAGTACCTAGTACTATTATAACTACATAATCAGAAGGAAAATTGAATTCATACCTTTGCCTCTGCAAGTTCAGCATCTTTGACTTTGA